CCATTCCTGTAACTGTAGCCTGCGAAAATGACACTCCCATGGGTAATAACACCGCGGAAACCAAAGAGACAAAATCAGTCATGTTGCTTTTTGATTTGCTATTTTTGCATATACTATTTTTTGGGGGTTATGGAAACTTCCATCAAAACGAATGTGGGCACCTTTACATCATTTTAAAAAGACAAATGCATCTTGCTTGCAAGTGTCAGCTCTAAGGAGGCATCCACAAGATAAACTGAAAACTTCCCCTTCTTTGTCTTCCTCGTACCAGCTATTTAGGCAAAGCCAGGGAGGTAGCATGGTTCTTTGTAATGTGTTTTGTCAGCTAGGAGACACAAAGCTTTTTCAGACTACCATGAGGCACAAATTCTGGGAGTCTGTATTTCTCTGAAGAGCTTCAGTCAGTTTAACTCACCGTCCCCAAGTCTCTAGTATCAAAAGGGGCTGTAGTCACTGGTGCCTTCTTCCATTAGCACCTGATATTCAAAGCTGAGGACATGTTTGCAGACGTGCGAGTGCCTAGTTTGGCTCTTGTGATGGTGTCTGGGGGAAGGGAGATGTGTTCCCCTGAGGCAACAAGGGTGCAAGCCACGTGGGACAGGGTAGGAGTCCTGCTGTGTAGTGTGCTGTGATGTATTGATAATCCCCCACAAGCAAGTTGAGAGTAAGTTCATTGGGAAAAGATGACTAACGAGAACAAAAACTTGGCTCAAGGCATTACAGGTATATTTCAGTTACATATATCAGTGATGAGTTTCATATTATCCAACATGTAGAAGAGCACAGGAGAGACCCAAAGCCTGCCTCAAGGAATTTATGATCCAGGAAGACAAGAGCTAAGCAGAAGTTCAAATATATAAAGCAAAACACGCCCAGAAGTTGGCATCATAAAACAGAAGTGCAGATATTCTACTCTGGTTTTAATCTGGTAAATCTAGTATTTGTGAGTGCTCATGGCTAACCATATAACCCACAGCCCCTTTCTCTCCAAATGAAACTTGGGGACAGCCAGTTTAAGGTTGTGTATCACTATTAATAAAAAGAGTTCAGCCCTCAATGCAGGTGCGACAGCCCTGGTAGCCCACAGGTATGGTCAGCCCAGGGCACCTGAGCTAAAGGGTCCCGTTGCGATGGCCTGGGGGCTGGTACCAGGCTGGTACGTTAATGATGAGGGAGCCCAGGGCATTCGTTTTCCCCAGTGGCCTAATTCAAATGATGTCTTACATACTTAGATGCACAAGGTAGAGTTTCATACTTACCCCTCTTGGAAAGTGTCTTCTTCTATATTGCCACATGCTTTGCTAAACAGTGTAAGGGAACTCGAAGCTACCTTCCTGGGCGCACTTTGGAACTGTAATTAAATAGTAAACTAAGAACCTGTGTATTATGCGGTGTAAATTTGCGTTTGTGAAGCGCAGTAGGAAAATAACACCAGCAGGTTCCATTTGTAGACTAATGAATGTAATCCTGGAGTTTGGAGGTTTCTATAACAAGCAGAAGAGAATAAGAGTAAATTAAGCTGACCCACCCTGCATATACAGAAATGATGTTTTTTCTGCCAACATTCAATTTCCACAACTGGGACAATACAGAAAATAAAATATTGTGTAAGGAAACAAATCTGCTGCTGAATCAGAATGGGCCTTTCCTGCCTGAATGACAATCAGTTGACATTCAATTATCATGCTAATTGAATTAAAGCAAGCTAGAAATGACTTGATTCCATAAGTATATGCTCCTGTCAAGTTACTTATTTAATAATTGTTGCTTGCTTGACAGAGGAGGGGGAAATGACCTTATAAGAGATTTCTGAGATGGTAAAAATAAAATTAAATATTGCCACTATACACTATAGATAAGCCACAGAACAGAAGCCTGCAAGGGTGCAACTCTGTTATATTTACTACCACACAAAACTATTTAAGCCTGAGGGCTAAAAAATCTCACAGCTGCCAAAAAAGAAAAGGTTGGGAGGGGCAGCTGACTTGCTTGTACCCATCTGAGGTGCTGCTAGAGATGCTGAGGATGTTCCCCACTTGCCCTGCCTTCGTAAGCCTCCAGTCTAACACAAGGTCGGTGACCTGGTACCCACAGCCTACAGGGGTACCTTCAGAGAAAAATACTGGCAGCCAGCCCTTGTGGTTACTCAGGAAAATCAACAACTCCCCGGACAGGCAGAACTTACTCTAATTTTTAGTATAAGCCAGGACCAATCAGAATTTCCAAAACTAGCACAAGGATCACCCCCCTGTATGCTGACCTAAGGAGTGGACATCTTCAGAAGGACAACAGCCTATAGACAGTGAGAGCTCAAGCTGTTGTCCTCAGAGGACATGCCAGTGCCCATACAAGGACAAAGCGGGGTGAACTGAACACCCTCCAGACAAGGCAGCCCACGGGGATCATTCTGGCCAATGCAAAACATCAAAGCAGGCTGGGGTCATCAAAAACCTTTCCCCATCCACTAAGAACTTTTTTACTGTCATGACCTTGTATGACATGGTTAACATTTATATTGTCATGGAAGACATGGTGTTCACGTGACTATGACTGGCTGACCAGAAGACCCAAGTAAAGAGGGCAAGACGATGTGTACACTGAATGTGGTAGATGTATAGGTAGGAAATAATTAAATAACGGCTGTCTGATGCCGTTCCTGCAAAGCAATGATGTTTTAGATAGAGATTTACAGAACAGTTGTTAGCTTCATATTATTGAGTTAACCTTGTGCAATATGACTGTTTGAGGGAAAAGTCAGGTCCCAGAGGACTCTTTCAATAAGCTGTGACTGTAAGAGCACAGCAGGAGTGTATATTTTTTATATTTGTATAATGCAAAATAAAACCCAATGCAGAAGCAGTAGATACATGATCTTTTGAAGATCATTATTCTGTGTAAAATTTGTTGTTCAGCTCTGTTTTTTAAACAGGCTATCAGAGTGATGCAGAGGCATTGCAATATTCAAAGCAGTATAACTTAGTCTTTGTTCTGTAGGTCAAGCTAAATTCATTTTAGCAGCTAGGAACAGATTGTTGACTAATTTTTTATTCATTTTCAAAACAAACAGTACATTTCCTTAATAATCACAAGCGATTACAACGTAAAAAGCAAATTGCTACCATTTTTTTTTGCAAAACAACAGGGGATCAGCCAACACTATATATTTATCTTAATCTGGAGAAATTACAAGGGTGCACAGATACAGTTGCACAGCTAAAACCAATCTTTTTTGCTCTCTGTCTTTATATGTACAATTTTAGAAGCCTAAGACTTCTCTGTTTCCATTATGATCTTTTGCTTCCCTGGGAAGCAAAATCTTTAATCCTTTTAGGCAGCCTCTGAGTGTTGCCAGCCCGTATCTGAAGCTTGTTCTGTCTCTCAAAGCAAAGCCTCAGTGAAACAAAGGAATGTTTCACGAGCACATTCTTTATAAAAATGGTGTTGTACTGGATCCTTCCAGCCTGACACTACCACTCTCATTTCTGCAACTGTGTTGTCCTAAGTGTGTGCACTCTGTGCTGCCAGGTCCTTTCCATTTTGGGACTGCGAGTTTTACTGGAGCATTGGAAGATCAAAAGATATCACTTTAAAGTTTCGTAAAGTTTGTCCTTCTGGGGAGGAGATGTACATTTGTGTTTTTCAGCTGTGGAATTCAGGAGAGCACCACAAAATTATCGTGAATAGCTTTGCCCGTCTTTTGCCTTTGAATCAATAGCCCAGTTACCAAGGCAGTGTGGAGTGGGAAGGGGAAGGTGGATAATCTTTACCCTCTTCATGGAGTCTTTCTGTAGGTGCCCAGCTTGTGCACTTGTCTGGAGAGGTGGAGAGCAGAGACTCAAAGCTGCAGTTCCGTTTTGTGTAGTATTGTGAATCCCAAATGCCCACGAACACATGAATTAACCTCTGGTGTGTGACTTAAAAATGGTGAAATATAACAGCAATAAGAAAGTAAATTTTCTTTCCTTCTATTTGTCTCCCTTCCTTTTAAGCCTTACGTTTAGAAGTTTTTTTAAGCTTTTCCCCAACAAGGAAGGCTACGAGTCAATCCTGCCTAGTTACATGAAGCCAAGATGCTTGCATGACTCCTAAATCCACCATTTCAGAAAAAAAAATGAAGTAGTGAGAAACGATAATATTTGCAAAGAGAAATGCAGACTTACTCCCCAGTCTGCCACTGACCTGGCTAACAGCAAGTCATTAGCTAGGTTCCATGGGTCAGAAAGCGGTTCTCCTCCTGAGAACGTTCAGCCCTAAGTGTCTATGTATGCTTTTCACAGTGTACGTGTAGTGCTACGAGGTCCTGCCTAACCCTGCAGACAATCTTTGATCTTGAAATTTGGGCAAAGTTGAGGTGATTTGTGAAGCTCTTTATTCTGTTATGAGACTGTGCACATGCCGCATTTAAAATAATTTAGTGAGTTGAGAGAAATGTACAGAAATAGATCCATGCTCCTGAGAAGTTAATTAGACCGATACGGGATCAAGACTGGAATAATGACTAACATTTATTATCCGTAGCAGCTCCATGAAGCTTCTTTGCCTGCCCCCAACAGTTTACCCAGGGAAGAGAGAAAGCCTCTTGGCTGATCTGTTGGTGCCATCATCTGCTCCTTCATTTAGCTCCGATGTCTTTCTGAACATTCTCATCTTCTCCAGGAGGTTTTTACCTCGTCTCACAAGTGCAAACCAGGGGAGAGGCCCAAGCCTTCCCCTGTTCCTAAAGGTCCCGTTTACAAGTACGCCCCGCGCTTCACTTTGAACAATTAAACCTGAGGTGCTATGAGGGATGTTGTTTTTTCAGTGCTACTGGGTAGTGAAAGTGTGTTTCATAGTTGGAACAATATTTTCATTAAAATATTTGATGTTTATTATTTCACTCTCTAAGCAATATGAGGAGGAAAAGCTGCTTAGAAATACTTTATGAAGATGCATGAGACACACCAGTGATATATAAAAACAAAATCAGATTAATTTACCAATGTAACACTCTTTGTTTTTAGGTATACAAAAAGAAAACGGAAGCTGCCAAGAAGGAATATCTGAAGCAGTTAGCTGCCTACAGAGCAAGCCTTGTATCCAAGGTAACACATAATGTATATACATACACACATCTATATCCTGCAAACCGTTTTCAGCGTTTATATGGTGCTGAGCACCGTAGTATTTAGTGCAAATAGCCTTGTTTGTTATCACCTTAAACCTAAGTTTAAGGTGCAGATGCTCAATAAACACAGTCGTCTCTCCATGAGAAGATGTCCTTTCCCTTCTGGTCAGAGACAGCACTTCCTCAGGCTGGGACTATCATGGCAGTTCCACAGAGGGAGGAATTACTGGTAAAAAGACCTCAAAATAACAAACACGCCGAGCCAGGCAGTCACCGTTCTACCCATAAGGGAAAAACCATGTCATATACAGAACGCCTGGGTTTGCGTTTGGTTTTTACCTTGCAGTCACACTACAGAAAAAGTCACGCTCAGCTCACATAGCAAATTTTCGGAAGAAAATGTGAATTTCCGTTTTGCATCCAGTAAGCAGTTTGTGTGAGCGCAGCATAGGTCACCCTAAGGCTCTTATACTGGAACACACCGGTGTATCCCCAGTGCACAGCTAGTAGCAGTTTTCTAAATTGATTTATACAAACTTTCTTAGTGCCCAGAATTTTGTAATAGACTCTTTAAAATCTGTAATAGACTTTAAAATATGTGGAAGAATGTGAAATTACCGCACAGTGTCAGTGTGAAGAACCAGCTGAGCGACTTCAGAATCATACCAGTTGGTTTGGGCCTGCCAAAACACGTGTAGGTATATTTTCTTCATAAGTAACATTAATTTTAGCGGTAAAGATGGCAGTACGAAGGACTGGCATATGTGACGTGAGTAGAACATTTTGTTAGTTTCAGATGGTTTTGGGGTCCTGCCCTGTACTTCTCTGTATATTATATAAATTTGTGCACGTTTTCAAGGGAAGACTGTATGATCAGCCGTACAAGGACCTTTCATGCATCTTTCTATAGTATCTTAGTATTTGGTTGGTGGTTGTTCTGAATTTAAAGGTCTGAAATATGGGTGTTACCTCATTCATTTTTGGGGGTTGTGTCTTATGCATTTTAATTTTATAGCTACCATCATAAATACTAATGTAGTTAAAATGATTTACAGGGTGCCTTTAATTTCTGCCTTAGGGCTGTTTGGTTCTGGAAATACTCATTACCTTCAGAAAGGGTACTATGTGCACACAAACCAATTTTTTTTGAAGTAGCCTGCTTATTGGCAAAAAATATGTCTGAAAAGCTCAAAATATTCCAATAGGTTTTGAAGAAATGCATGAAGCCAACTTTTTATTTGGGACAATAACTTGGATATCATTATTCAGCACATCATGGACTGTTTACAGTAACACTGTATGTAGCTTAATTTTGAAATGGCACATATAAAAAACCTGAAGTTTTTATTTTGTTTTTATTTTTTTTGGAAAGAGAAAGAAGTGTATTATGGCATTTTCTGAGGTTTGTTTTTAGAAAAAAATTTAAGATTGTTTATCAGTTCAGTGCATGAAACCATTTGTGCAAATATTTAAATTTGTTGTTAGTCAGAAAAGCACTGAAGCATTTTCTTAACTTTTAAGCAATTATTTAAATTCTGCTCCTAATGTAATGTTTTCCTCTAGTGTAGAAAGTATCAAAATATAAACTTAATGAAGCCGAGTACTAATTGCTTACTCTCACGAATGCACTCAATGAATCCGACAGACCTGGCATGTAACTAGAGCAAGTCCGTTTTAGAATAAGGATGTAAAATACCCAGATGTAATATTACATCAGTATATTTTAAATTATCATTATTAAGTATTTATATGGCACCATAAGAGTTGTGCTTCTTTGGACAAGCATGAAGAAATATAAATAATACATTATTAAGATTGTTTGGAGTCCATCTGGTCTTTTATGTCCATGTGTTACATTATCATCCATAAAAGCTACTTTTAGAGAATACTACTAAGATTCCAAGACCTCATTCTCAAAAGTTAAGACATGCCAAAAGTAACCTGCCTTTTCCAAAAATGCTTTAATACAATATTAATGCTTTGCTCACATGGTATGTTTTATACTTTATACCTCACCCTGTGTGAGTCTGATTTCATGCGCTTACAATCAGACATTCACCCTGGGAGCTCCCGTGTCGTATTTACCACGTGTTGCTTCACCTTGCTTCTTTATAGGATTTTCTGTGCTGCTCATCCCAGCAGTGGTTTAGTGTAAAGAGATTCTCAGTAATAGCAGGAAGTTTGTATTATTTTCAAACACAATGAAATCACTGTGAAGTCAGGTTTTCAGTAATTTTGGGTGTCCTGCGTGAGACATCTGGAACTTCGTGTGACCGATATTACACCTTTCGTGTTCATAGGTGAGCTCCAGTGACCTCAGGGTCCTCTGGCTGGCAGCTATGAGATGTTCAGTTGGGCTTCACATCACATGGGACATCCTCTTGCTGTCCAAATGATAGGAGTTACCTGGTTATCACCCTTTCTTCCCTCTCCCCTCCCAGAGGACTCTGCCTGTGAGAAGAGGCAGGCACAAGCAGGCAAGGGTGCTGCTCAGGGCCCCTATCTCCAGCTCAGCAGGTGCTCCTAAAGCAGCTGCTCTGCTCCTCGGTTTTGAACGCTGATTCTGCCCCTTTTTTTCATGAAGCATTGCCAATTTTTAAACAACTGGTGGGTGTAGGACTTGTACGCGAGTGTTTATGTTTTCCTGTGTTTATTTGCAAGTCTTCACTTTTCGGAAAAGCAAAGGAACGGACATATGCCATGTTATACCTGAGTGGACCAGACCTGGAGTTGAAATCACTGCACCCATCGTGGCCCTTTGAGATTCTGGAATAGTCAGAATAGAAGGTTGCAGAGAAATTAGGTAGATCTCCTTTTGCCAGGAGATTTCTTGGCCTCTGCCTGACAGCTGAATAATGAAATTCAGGAATGTTGGTTTCCATCCCAATCTCTGGGGTGGGAGTGGAGTAGCAGGTGGGGATGGTGGGCTTCTCTGTGATACTCAGCCCTTTGCCCTCTGTTTTCCTCCATTTTCCTCCATTCTCCTCTCCTCCCCTCTCCTCCCCTCCCCTC